TGTGTAGACGGTGTGTGGTGGGTGCATCAAGGGTGAGGAGTGATCACTGTGTTCTGCTCTTTGGTGAGCCATGTCTATTTTGGGGGTATTATTAATTAGGTGGAGGATTGTCCTCTCCCCCCCCCCAATCATAAGGCTTATGGGAGTATGTGCTGTGTGGCAGTGTGATGTATCTGAGTGTCGGGATCATAGAATTCTTAAAGTAGTACAGAAATGTCTTTTTCATTAGCCCTTCTCTACTCAAATGAATCTGGAGTAAGTTACATGTTAAGAGTCAGGTAATCAGAATCAGTCATCTTCATAAGAAAAAGGAATGAATCTGAGTTGCTCTAAAATCTCAGTTCAACATTAACTATGGAGCTGCTGCCGGTGCCTCCATAATATAATTATAACATTGTGGACTTTGTAGTAATACAATAAAACACAAATTAAAAACAAACCAACCCTCCCCACCCTTCAAAGAAAAACCTCCGAACTACCAAAAAAGGCAAAGTAAATGATGGAAATAAGAGAGGAATTTTGAATTATGATCAAGAAACTGAAATAGAATATAATTATTAATTTAACTTTTAAACATGCTCTTTGCATATGTTTTGTTAAACCAAAACAGGGAAAGTTTTAAGGGAGTGTCCATAAAGTCAGGTGAAGTGAAAATTAATCAAGCAATAGGACAGCACTTTTATCAAAGGGTGCTTTTGGCAAGTGATTTTTTTTTATTTAAAACAGTACACAAATGAGTCATAGATTTTTAAAGCCAGAAGGAACCACCAGAACATTTAGAAATGAAATGTTCAAAACATGTTATTCCCTCTCAGTTTTGGAAGTAATAGATAATGCATTATTTCAAGTATATGTTTGCGTCACTTGGATGTGAAGGAGGGTCACATGATGTTAATGTTTCTTTTATATGTTCTGTTCTGCACCTCATCATTGGGCTAAATGATTTGGAAAAGCCTTGATGTCTTTTCAAACTGTCTTGTGTGGGTGGGCAAGAAGCAAATGTTTTTATTAATATTTAAACATACTGGACATTTGATTAAAGCATTGCAATTAATGAAATATTTGCAATGCATCTTGAATATAACAAACATACATTGCAGTTAACTGTTGCAGGATACCATCAGAACAAGTCACCTTGTGGCCTCATCCTGAAAGTGCATAGCAGTCTCAGGCTCTTAATTTGCAGTTCACATGCATTATAGGTTAAGTATTAAGGGCATGGTCAATTCCTGCCAATATTAAATATTTCTGTATCTTCCAACTAAGAATCTCAGGGTTTTGTTTTTGGTTTAGTTTCTTGTTTTGTTTTGTTTTGTTTTGTTTTGTGGACATGAAACAATTATGTTAACTTCAATATGAGTTTTGCCTAAGTAAGGACT